ATGAATCCTAGTTGGTTATGGTGGATGATTTTCCTGATGTGTTCTTGGATTCAGTTTGCCAGTATTTTATAATTTTTGCATCTATGTTCATGAGGTAAATTGACCTGTTAATTCTCTTTCTTAGTTGTGTCTTTGTGTGGTTTGGGTATCAGTGTAACTGCAGTCTTGTAAAGAGAGTTTAGCAATATTCTTTCTGTTTCTATTGCGTGGAACAATTTGAGAAGTATTGATGGTAGTTCTTTGAACATCTGGTAGAATTCTGTACTGAAACCATCTTTTCTTAGTTGGGAGATGATTGATAACTGTGTCTATTTCCTTAGCGGTTATAGGTGTAATTAAGTTGTTTATCTGTTCTTGATTTAATTTTGATATGTAGTACTTACATAGAAAATTGTCGGTATCCTTAAAGTTTTCCAATTTTGTGGAGCACAGGTTTTTGAAGTATGACCTGATGATTCTCTGAATTTCCTCAGTTTCTGTTGTTGTGTTCTCCTTTTTGTTTCTGAATGGTTAATTTGGATATTCTCCCTGACTTTTGGTTACTTTGGATAAAGGTTTGTTTATTTTGTTGAATTTCTCAAAGAACCAACTCTTTGTCTCATTGATTCTTTGCATTGTTTCTTTTGTTTCTATTTTATTGATTTTTTGCTCAATTTGACTATTTCTTGCTGTCTACTCCTTCTGGATGAATTTGCTGCTTTTTGTTCTAGTGCTTTCAATTGTTCCGTTATTTCACTAGTGTGGGATTTTTCCTGTTGCAGGATTTCTGCCCGGGTCCTGTCGCCGCTTTAGCCCCCAAAATAACACACAAGACACTATATTAATTATAATGTCATTGGCCTGGCCATTTGCTATGGTTTCTTAATGACTAACTCTGATGTAATTATTAACCAATAATTACTAATATATCTTTTTATAAGGGCTTATGTTTCCAAGGACACCCTCCTGTCACATCCTTTCTTCCCTTGAGATCATGTGGTGACCCACACTCTTGACTACATTTCCCAGAATCTTCCTTGACTCCTAGTCCCACCTATTTTGCTTCCCTATTGTCCAACAGTGCTTTATGTACATATAGAAGGACTTTCCCCATCATTTCCCAGCTTCTTTTATGTAGGGTTCTAGTGCTATGAACTTTCCTCTTTGCATTGCTTTCATTTTGGGTATGTTGTGCAGTCATTTTCATTAAATTTTAGGAAGTCTTTTACTTCTTTCTTTATTTCTTCCTTGACCCAGTGGTGGTTCAGTTGATCACTGTTCAATATCCATGTGTTTGTGGGCTTTCTGAAATTAATGTTGCTGTTAAATTCTAACTTTAAGTTCTGGCGACTCAATATGGTACACAGATTTACTCCATTATCTGTTGAGGTTAGCTTTGTTACTGAGTATGTGGCCTATTTTTGAGAAGGTTCCATGGGGTACTGGAAAGAAAGTATATTCTTATGTGTTTGGGTGGAATGTTATACAAATGTCTGTTAAGTACATTTGAGTCAAAACATCTGTTAGTTCCCATATGTCTCTGTTAAAGTTCTGTCTGGCAGACTTGTCCAGTGGTGAGAGCGGGATATTGACATCTCCTGCTATTAATGTGTGGGGCTTGATTTGTGATTTAAGCTTTAGTAATGTTTCTTTTACAAATGAAGGAGCCTTTGTGTTCAGGGCATAGATGGTTCAGAATTGAGATTTCTTCTTGAAGGATTTATCCTGCAATGAATATGAAATTCTCTTCTTTATCTTTTTTATTGATTTTAGTTTGAATTCTATTTTGTTAGGTAGTAGGATAGCTACACCAGTTTTTTCTTCGGGTCCATTTGATTGGAAAATGTTTTCCCAACCCTTTACTCTGAAATAATGTCTGTCTGTGTGGTTGAGGTGTGTTTCTTATATGCAGCAGAAGAATGGATTCTGTTTTTGTATCCAATCTGTCAGCCTCTATCTTTTTATAGGTGAATTGAGACCATTTATATTAATGGATATTAAAGACCAGTGATTACTAGTTCCTGTTATTTTTGTTTTTGTTGGTGGTGATGGCATTGTGTGTTCAGTTTCCTTCTTTGGGATTTGCTTCTGTAAGCTTATCTATTGCCTGTGTTCTTTTGTATGAAGGTGTCTTCCTTGGTTTGGAGTTTTTCTTCTAGTACATTCTGTAGAGCTGGGCTTGTGGATAGATATTGTTTAAATTTGGTTTCATCATAGAATATCTTGCTTTATCCATTATGGTTATTGAAAGCTTTGGGGGGTAAAGTAGTCTGGGCTCTCTGGGCTGATCCGTAGTGTATCTAGAGATAACATCTGACCAGGACCTTCTGGCTTTTACTGTTTAGATTGAGAAGTCAGGTGTAATTCTGATAGGTATGCCTTTATATGTTACCTGGCCTTTCTCCTTTGCAGCTCTTAAAATTCTTTAGTTATTCTGTATGTTTACTTTGATTAATATGTGATGAAGAGACTTTTTTTGGTTCAGTCTATTTAGTGTTCTTTTAACTTCTTTTATTTTCATAGGTATATCCTTCTTTAGGTTGGGAAAGTTTTCTTCTATGATTTTGTTGAATATGTTTCCCATGTCTTCTCCTTCTTCTATCTCTATTATTCTTAGGTTCAATATTTTCATGGTGCCCCAGATTTCCCGCATAGTTTGTGTTAAAGATGTACCAGATTTAAAATGTTCTTTAACTGATGAATCTATTTCCTCTATTGTATCTTCAATGCTTGCAATTCTGTCTTCTGTTTCTTACATTCTGTTGTTTATGCTTGCATTTGTGGTTCCTGAAAGTTTACCCAGATTTTACGTTTCCAGAATCCCCTCAGTTTGTGTTTACTTTATTGCCTCTATTTCAAATTTCAAGTCTTGAATTGTGTCATTCACTTGTTTGATTGCTTTCTCTTGGTTTTCTTTAAGGGATTTGTCAGTTTATCCAATTTTTTTCTTTGTCTTGTTCTCCCTTTCTTTAAGGGAATGTTTTAGTTCCTCTTTAAGGGCCTCCATCATCCTCATGAAGTTATTTTTTTAGGTTGTTTTCTTCTGCTTCATCTGTGTTGGGATGTTCAGGTCTTGCTGTTGTAGCACTACTAGTTTCTAGTGGTGTCATATTGCTCTCTCTCTATATATATCTATATAGTTGAGTGTGTTCTAGGGTACATTAATATTTTTATAAACATTCAAGTAAAATTTTGGGCAAAATGAGTAATTGAGAAGATTTTGAAGACATTCATAACTCGGGATTTGATTTCGTACCCATAGTGATTTAAATTCCACGCCTACCATATGTTGCTAGCTTGAGAATGGGGCTAGTTAGAAACCTCGCAGCTTTAATATCCTGTGTTATAGAAGCTTCTAGAACTAGATAAAATAATACATATGGAAAATATATCATAGAATCTTCTGACAGCAGTGACTATAAGGATCTTTGTCTTGCATAGATGTGTTTTCTAAAGAACTGAAGACAAAAGTTTTTACCACATATGATGGAAAGAAGCAAATACCTTATTGAAGTTGAGCATAGATGTACATTTCCCTTATTAGATAATAAATACAGCTGAACTACTCCACTCTCAAGTGCTGTGTGAACTCTGTCTAGGTGGTCCTGGCTTTTGCAACCAGCCCAGCTTTGTTCAGCATACATACTTGGTGACTAAATTTGCCCACCAACTAGAAGCTTTTTGATATAATCTCTATGCTCACTGCTCTCATGCCTACTGTACCTTGCTAGCACTATCAGGCTCTAATCTACTTCTTGTTCACACTTGGGGCTTAAATTAATTCTGTCTGAAACCTTACCTTGGCCTTTTCCTCAAGTGACAAGGCTAATTAATTTTGAGGCAGATAATGTTGAGCCTTTCCCTAATCCTTAGACTATAGTGAAAATATTTAGTATAGACATTACTCGTATGTCTGAAGTATTTTTATTTTTCATGGGAAATTATAACTTGGGAAAACAGAAAATGTCGGAATAGGAAATAAGTTCCAATGTTTTATTGCTAAATAGTGTGATTAAAAGCAGTCATAATATTCCATATATATATATATATACATATATATATATATATTGGTTTTTCGAGGCAGGGTTTCTCTGTATTGTTTTGGAGGCTGTCCTTGTAGACCAGTCTTGGCCTCGAACTCACAGAGATCTGCCTGCCTCTGGCTCCCGAGTGCTGGGATTAAAGGTGTGCACCACCAACGTACCGGCTATATTCTGTATATTTTAACAGGACATATTTTGAGTATTTTCACCTCAAAGAAGTAATGTGTTTGAGGAACCACACTTCCTCTTATTTGAGCACCCAAATTGTGTGTATTTATACAAACATTACTTGGATCCCTGCAAATGGACATTGCCATATTTGTTAATTGAAATAAAAAATAAAATTTGATAAATAATAGAGGAATTAAAAACAGATATATAGATATATAGATAACTGCTCTTCCAGAGCCCAAGTTGCATTTCCAGCCCCAATATGGAGGCTCACAACCATCTGTAATTCCAGTTCCAGGGATTCAATGTCTCTTCTGGACATACACATGTGTCACACACTTACATACAGGCAGACAAAGCACTCCTACACATAAAATGAAATAAAATTCTAACCCCCCCAAAAACTGTATTTTCCTTTCCAAGTGTATTATAAAAGTAAATAAAATGGAACAGTGACTCTTTCAGAGGACACTTATTGCTACCATGAGAAGGAGCAAAACCTTTGCTCTAAGAGGTTATAAACTATCTAAGAAAGAGGAGAAAAAGCCTGGATCAACAAGAGGATATTAAGTGCCTGTAAGGCATGAATGCTAGGCAGAGGGAAAATGTACAGATGTGTTTAGAAAAACCTTCCCAAAGACTTTGAAGACTGACAACAATTTATACAGGAAGACTACCCTGACTGAACAATGCAAACTGCAAAAAGAAGCCTCATCAACATTCACCAATGGCAGCAACTCAGAAGGGGAAAGATGCATGGGTGGGAGTGAGGAGCCTTCGTCAATCAACAGGAAAGACCACACATCACTATGCACACACTATCCTGCTGAGGGTATTTCTCAGGGCTCCTTTCATGTCCCGATTCCTCAGACTGTAGATAAAGGGATTCAGCATGGGTGTGACCACAGTGTACAGCACAGCCACAATGACATCCTTGTCATTAGTGTTACTGGAGGAGGGGAAAAAATACAAACCAATAATGGCTCCATAGTACAAAGAAACTACACAGAGATGAGACCCACATGTGGACAGGGCTCTGCTGATTCCCTTGGCTGAGGGAGTTCTCAGGATGGTGGCTCCAATGCGGCCATAAGAAACCAGAATGCATATCAATGGCACCGTTATGATCACCATTCCCACAGTGAAGATGACCAGCTCATTGATGGTGGTGTCTGAGCTAGACAGTTTAAGCAAGGCAGAAAGGTCACAGAAGAAGTGTGACAGAGTATTGGCCCCACAGAAAGAGAGGCGGGCAAGCAGTAGGGTGTGCACAAGGGCACTGGCAAAGGACAAGACCCAGGACACAGCTACCAGCAGGACACAGAGGTTCTGACTCATGATGGTGGTGTAGTGCAGAGGCTGGCAGATGGCCACATACCTGTCGTAGGCCATGGAGGTCAGAAGGAAGCTGTCAAGATCTCCAAAAAATAGGAAAAAATACACCTGGGAGATGCACCCAGCATATGAGATGGACTGACTGTGTGTCAGCATGTTCATGAGCATCTTTGGAGCTGTGACTGATGAGAAAGAGATGTCTGTGAAGGCCAAGTGGCTGAGGAAGAAGTACATGGGGGTGTGGAGGTGAGAGTCCAGCCTGATGAGCAGGATGATGAGCAGGTTCCCCAGCACCGTGGTCAGGTACATGATGAGGAACAGGACAGAGTATAAGCCTTGGTCCTCTGGCTGGATGGGGAGCCCCAGGAGGATGAACTCAGATGCCGTGCTCTGATTATTCCTTCTGACGAAGCTCATTTTCTCTTTTTTGGAAATAAAATGAGATAGAGATGTGAAAGGGAAATGTCTATGGCTATTATGCAACAAAAGCCTTATCATGTTTGAGCCAGTTAGTTTGTTCATTTCACCACAAGCCAGGAGCTTTTGTCAATACTCACAAGATAGTGATGGTCAGCTCAAGGTAAACCAACCCAACATCTTGTGGAGAATCTGGGAAGCATTACTTTGGGAGTTCATGGTGGGAATCTGAGATTAGGTAATTAGGATGTAACGTCAAGTGAATAAATAATTAAAGAAATAGTAGATGATCTGCAGCCATCTGTTTGCCTTATGCCTGCCTCAGAAACACAAGTGGGCAAATGCCTTATTTTCAAGAGTTGGATTAAAATGATTGGACCCACATTGGGCTCTTTTGATACTTATCATATCAAGAATTGGAGATCTAGAGGCGAGTGCATGCGTTTGATGTAGAAGATTCAGGAGCAAACCTAAAATATTGCCTGACATCGCATGTAATCTGGCTCCAGCTCTTTACGAATAGCTCTTCACACTCAATATGTTCAGAATTCCTTTATCCTTCATGGAAAAGGGAGGAAAAGACTGTTCCTCCTTCAAATCCTTTGTCGAGTACTTCCTCAACCCAATTGCATCATCCCTTTTCAAGTCCTAGAAATTCTTGACTTTTCTAGTCAAATACAGCAGCTGGAGGAAATGGAGTTCTTGTTGTGTACATACCCAAACAGAAGGAGTGCTTATTTCTATTGTTTCTATTCTTTTGTTTTGATGCTGTTTTTAACTGGTATTTTTCTAATTTACATTTCCAACATTTTTAAAATAAATGATAACTTCTTTATTTATCCCCCATGCCATTTGGTCTTAGAACCACCCATGAAAATAGCTCCGATAAATTAAAGTGAACATTGAAAGCCCACCAAAATATACTGAGAGATAAAGATTAAACAAGAGGGGATATTTTCCACTCTCTTCTCAAGAAATAGATAAAGACTAATTTTGAATGAAATTATTATGTATGGATTAGGTTTCATGCTATCCTTTCAAAATTTGGATAGTCAGTTTTATGACAAATTTACACCTTGAGTTATTGACATTCTATATTAGACATGGAATTCACAGTTAATATCACACTATGGACACACACAAATGCACAGACACTTCAATAATCATTTAACATCTGTCTCTATATCTTTTTTCATATGACCTCTTAGGTGATGAGAACAAATACCTTCAACTAAAAAAAATGGCAAAATTCTCCCATCTATTTCAAGGTGACGTTGAGGGTGGTAAAACAGATGGGATCTACAAGGACCTCCATATCACACTTCAGCAAAAGAATTGTAAGCTCACAGTCAAACAAAATAGATGTAGCAATATGCATTGGGTCAGAACTCCTGAAAATTGGCATGATTTATAATTTTTTAAACCTTCAAGAGGACTCAGGGGGCAGCAACCCCATACCTAGCTCAAATTAGAGAGAGTGGGATATAATTGCTTTATTTCCTGGGGCCCCTCTGGGAGTGGAGCTACTTACTGAAGAACACATAAGGGAGATCTCTTGCTGTTAATGACAAAATAATCAACAGGAACTTGGCAGTTCACAAAGATTTTTTTCTTTTCAGCTTCCCTCAAGGAAAATGTAATTCAGAATCTGCAATGACCTAAACTGAAGGTTAAGAGTGATAACCAAAGTCCCTTGCTTACTCTAAGACATTTTGTGGTGTGGGGGTATACATGAGCAGGGTGTGAATGAGTACATATGACGCACACACATGTGTATGGAGGCTGGAGTTCAATGTAGGGGTGGCTTCCCTACCTGTTTTCCTAGCCTTTTTTGAGACCAGGTCTCTCATTGAAATGGTAGCTCACTATATTGGTTGGTCAATTAGCCCAAGAGACAGTCTTATCTCCATTTCTCCACTGCAGGGACTGTAGTCAAACAATATCGTGCTCAGTAGTTTTTTTAAGTATTAAGTCTTTTGTATTTTCAATTCTTTCTCCCATTTCATCCCAGATCCACTCCCCATTTCATGCCCACACAACTTTGTGTCCTCAATTTTTAAAAATCCATCAAGTCCATTGGTGTGTCTATATACTCTTAGGTGTGTGACCAAACACTGTAGTGCTGGCTCTATCAAGGGCCATGCTCTTGAAGAAAACCAAATCATCTTCCGGAAGCTATCTATTCCCAACAGCTCCAAGTAAGACTTCATTTCCGCATCCATTCCAATGCTGGGATTCCATATGGCTTCAGGTTTTATAGGTCTTATTCATGAGGTTTCAAGCACTGTCAATTTATATGTAATTGCCTTGTTGTGTTCATAAGGACCACAGACTGGATGACCACAGAAAGCTAATTTTATGTGTATGTACATATGTGTACGTATGCTCTCTGCATATATGCAGGAGCACACAGAGGTCAGAAGAGATGATTGAATCTCATGGATCCAGAGTTATAGGATGTGAGACCTCTATAACGTGGGTTCTGGGAACTGAACCTGCGTTTTCTGTAAGAGAAACAATTGCTCTTAATCACTGAGCCATTCCCAAATTAAATTTCTGATGTTTAACTTTTTTCAAGTTAAAGTAAATAGAGAGGAGTTCTAAGGTCTACAGTTGGGGAAAGTAAATTTAGTCTCGATGTTGGGAATATTCAGGCTCACTGGTCCATCCCGCTTCCAACTTCCACATTTTTGTTACTATTATTACTCTTTTCTTTGTTGGTTTTGTCTGTTAAAAAAACACTTATAGAATATAATTAGGTGAGTTAAATTTAATAGGTGATTTCTTGTCCTTAATCAGAAGTGTGAGAAACTTTTACAAAAGTGGTAGACACATTTAGACTTCTTTAGTGAAGGAGTTTCTAAGCAGAGGGGCCCTGTTCACAGAGTCAGATACACCTTCTTAGAAACCATGCTTTACTGTACACCTGTGGTTCTCAGCCTACCCAGTGTTGTGATCCTTAACACAATTCCTCATGTTGTGGTGGTCCAAAAAATGAAGTTATTTCATTGCTACTTCATAACCATGATTTTGCTACTGTTATGAATTGTAATGTAAATAATATACATGTAGGATATCTGATTTGCAACCCCAAAATGATTATGACCCACAGGTTGAGAATTGTTTCTATAGCGGCCATTATTTATCAGTGGCAAGAGTGTTTAATGCATAAAGAAAACAGTGAAACATCTCAGATTTTATAGAGCCCAATGCTGTACTAATTTGGTCTATTCTAATAGAGACAGAAGGGAATCAGGTATTGTAAGTGTTCACTAACTAGGCTCTGGGGAATTGTGTTCTGTGACTTCTTAGATCTATAGACATTCAAAGTGGATTTGTTCACCCTCTTCTAGGGATTAGCCTGATGAAACAGCAGCTTTCTCTCTCTAAGTCAGACTTCAAACTGAAAATATAAAATACTTCAGAATTCCTCAAAACATCATTCAGGCAGATTCAGATTTGTCTCAGATCATCACAAGTTTTCAGGGAAAAAAAAGCAAAACCAACTCATCCTTATGGATTTTTTCTTCAAGCTTATGAATGTAGCATGACTACTCCAGCCTCCCATTCAGATATGAATTCAACTTGTCTTTTCAATCTTTTGTTCACTTCTTAGACTCCTCTTCATCTAGAACCTTGATACACTTTTCTCCAAACTTCTATTTCTTCTGCACAGTTTTCTATCTTCATTCAATAATTTGACTTTCGTCTTGGTCTATTTGCTGTTTGTATTTAATATTCTTTATTCAGAACCCGGATTCCAGTCAATTCCATTAAAAATCCTTTAAGGAAGACTAATTCATTCTTCCCAAATAAACACTCTGCATGATTACCTTCTCAGAGAACAAGGTGGCAGTGAGCACAGGAACTTGATATAAAACTGCCGTATGATGCCAGCTCCATGTCTTGGAGTACTCTCACCATATGGCTCACACCATCTCACCTTGCTGACTGGCACAGTCGGTGAAGAGGCAGCGGTGGTAAATAAAGGGATTCCTTGGTGTGGATGACAGTAAGTGAGCCATTTTATGGAAGCACCTTATTGATGTTTCAAAGATAGGTTGAGATTCCTGAGGTCAAGATTCCAAGAAGGATGATAAAGCTTTCTAAGGAAAATCATAACCAAGAAATAGAGTGGGAGGTGCTAATGCAAAGTACTGAAGAGAATAAAAAAGAGACAGAACATAAAATCTTGGCTCTACAAGGGCTACTAATGGCTCAGTGCAGCACAAGTGTAGCTGCTGCCAAGCCTGTAGATCGGAGTTTAGTCCTCAGAATCCACATGGAGGAAGGAAAGAACCAACCACCCTAAGTTGTCCTCCGACCTCTGCACAGGTGCAAAAATAAGCACATAGAGGCACACACACACACACACACACACACACACACACACACGTGCATGCACACACATGGTAAACAAGTATTTTTAAATGACTTAAAAGTGGAGATATTTGGGTTTATTTAAAGCAGTGAGAGAGCTTACTCATGCAAACTCTTCATTGCCATAGCTACAGACAGGTGCATTTTATGCTGGTATAGGTAGTACAAGACTTGTTTTTCTCTATAATTATATGTAGGCCCTTGGAAAGGCTCGTGGGAGATAAAGACAAGCCATGGAAGTCAGGGAATTTTGGAACTTATCAGGCAACTTGCCTTCAAGTTGTGACATTTTGAGATGTGTTAGTCGATTCAGCTAGAGTAGGTTTCAGAGGGTCACATGTATGAAATCATCTCAGATTTTCCTCTTGGAAAAGTTTAAAATTTTGATTTTGAAACATAAACACTACTTCAGGAAATCCTTTGGTCAGCAGACAGGCTTCTGCATAGGTGAGAACTCTGGTTAATGAAGTAAGTTTACAGGGAGATGGTAATGCTCCTGATGGAAACCCCAAAGACTTGATATTTTCTATCTGGAGAAGTGGTCAAAAGTAGAGAGAATGAGTCACTCCACTGTCCTTTCCCATGGGGTGGTTATCATGAATGTTTGCTAAAGGTGACCT